TTTGCTCTCTTTGGGACCAGATGTTGCGTTCACCCCTGTCCCGCCCAGCGCGTTCCTGCACAGCTGAGCGATGACGCACACACGGACAGGCGGTGCAAGAGTACAGATGATTAAAGCACGGCAACGCACAGGCAGGGACGGGAAAAGTGCCTTTTCTGTCACCGACGAAATTTGGAGTCGTCCAAAGTATCACCTGAAGCCGAATCTTTCGAAAAACTTTGCAATATAACTCTAAATGCAATATACCACAAAGTGAAGACAAATTTCACGCAATGGGGCATAACCATCAAACATTTTGTTTCGGGGCTTATTTGCACTCAGGTATCAGGTATATTTGATGGCCACCAAGCACTGAATGATGGTTAAGAATCAACCAATAAAATTATCAGGTAAAGGCATGCTTAACATAATTAGCTTGGAGGGGTGTAGCTTCCTATTCAGATAGGGGGAGGGGATTGCGCCTACTAACCATGGATGTAGCTCCCTTTTTAGTTATCATTTTTAAGCATCATTCTTCATGAATCGCAATTTTATGGTATACCCCCCCCCCCCCCCCCAACTAATTTAGAGGAACTACGCCCTTGTTCTCATTTGTGAAATGGAAGTGCGTAAAATTTGCAGTTGAGTTCATTTTGGAGGCAGATTTAGTCGTTTTTCCTTGCCCCCCCCCCCCCCTCATCTCTCAAGCCTACGCATTTTGAAAAACTGCAGTCCCCACAGCCCCATATTAACCGGCAACATGGCTCTAAAAGCACCTGACGGCAATATCACCTTTGGTATTGTGACGCTATCGTAAGATCAACTGAACGCGCTGGCGACCTTCACTATCTTTGCATAATCAGCACCGTTGCAGAACTCACACTTACTAACATGATCGCCATCATTTAGAGCAAAACCCATGCAACATTGGTATCAAAAGATGCAAATGATGTTTTTGAACACCTCTACAATCATTCAGGTTTTATGCAATAGGATGAAAACAAAAAGCGTTTTATCTCACGCCTGTCCACCGATCAGGTCGCTAAGCCAGAGGTGCAACGGGCAAAATGGGAGCACTACAACGGTGATGCTCAGTCTCTAAGCTCAAAGCCGCTATTACCCTCAACAGCAGAAAGCTCCAGGTGAATATTTTACATGCGTCGCTCCAATCTCCTCCGTTTACCTCTGTAGCTACAGCTCAGGTATCCACAAGCAACACTCCTCCTAGATCGACAAGGCATTGAACTCTATTACATTAAAAAGCTGACGATTAAATACGTTTTTCTAGTCAGTCAGCTTCTCATGACATGAACACAACTAACAGCAGCCCACAGCCTTGCAATAAATCCAACGCATCATCCCGCAGTGACCGTTCGAGCCCTTCTGCCTCAAATGGCACGACGCTTAAAACGCTGCATAGCAAACTGATTACGTTCGTCGCAAGATGCTGCGGCCAGCTACGACCCTTACGACTAGTAATAAGCCTAGTTATTTGGTGTCTTATACTGTTTACTATGTGAAGTGAATCTTGGCTAAAAAAGATATGTGAAAAGCACTGATCTGAGAGGCATTGTAAAAGCACCATGTCACCGCTGATTTGTGACGTCAGCGCTAGGATAGTGTAGTTTGTTGTATATTTCTGGCACCCGGTAAAAGCCGTCCTGATTAAGGCTGCTATGTTTGGCAGCATCTTGGGTCTCAATTCATTAATACAGCGAAACGACAACGTTTCGACACGTGTTCTACACATGCTCGCGGTGCAAATGTTAATGAGCACAGACCAATGCTAAGCTTCTCAGTTTCGTTTAGCTAGGATAGTAAGTTGTAATATGGTCTTGTCTATTGAAATTCGTTTGCCTTTTTGCAATTTTGCCACTAGTTGGTCGGCAAAGGTGTCAGTTTTTGTCACCGATCGTTTCCGGTAGATCACAAGCTTTTTTCACCCCCGCTCACTGGCACCCTGCGAGGCCATAAGGCCAACCAAACTGCACTTTGCGTTCCCTCGCGGCACTGTGGAAGCCTTCTAACGCCTGTGGACCAAAAATAAAACCCTGCCGCCAGCACCCTAACGTAAGCTTATCAAGAGTATGTTCGTGCCGATCTAAAGAGTGTGATGCCTTGGGATTTGCAGGGCGTGAACTGGTTCGGGTCGCCGTTTTTGAATCCATATTTTACGAATCGGCCCTCATGTAAACATTTGTCATCCAACAAACGGATACGCTTGCAATATTTAGCGGAATGTTACTGCTCGAGCAACTTTTCGTCGTTATTGGACAGCAAGAATGTGGAACCCGAATCTTGTCTGCAAGCTCTGCACTCCTCTGTCAGGGGACGTGATGCATTGCACTCTGAACAAAACTGTGTCGCCATTGGGTCAGGATAGCTTGGTTGTTGCCATCAGTGTATCAGCAAGGACCCACTCCCGCACTGTTCCCGTGTCCATCGACCCTTCCTTCATAAAACATATAGAGCACACAGACCCTGGTGCGGAAACACAAACCCAGAGGCCAGTTACACACGCGTTTACGCACGCATTGTCGGTGGCACGAGCCCATAGCACGCCACACACACACGCACGCGCGCAACACACATACACACACGGACGCACACGCACACGCACACACACACGCGCAAACGCAAACGCACACGCACATGCACATGCATGCGCACGCGCGCAGCGTATACGTGTGGTAGTACTGGCGCGGTAGCACGGGTGCAGCGGCCCGCGCGGCCCTTCCTCCGGTGTCCATTTACTTAGCAACAGTATTTCTTCGTGTAATGGCACTCTTCCGCCCACGTAGACGATCTCGTCTGCTGTCGTCTGCTCGTCTGCAGCCCCCCGTACACTGCATCCAGGTTGACGAGCGATGGGGCGGCAGCTGCGGGCGGCAGCTGTCTGCAGGCCTTAGCCAGAACAGCAAAGGGCATGTGATGGTTTGTCGACTGTGGCTAGACTGGCGAGGGACGGAGAGTATTTATTTCCTGGACTGCAGCTGGGCTGGCGAGAGGCATAACACTGCTTCTTCGATAGAATAATTAACATATTGAAGTTAGCAGCAGTCATGCAAGCTGGAGCCATCCATTCGTGTTTGCAGCATGCACAAATATGTGTACTCATTTTATTCACACTGCGTAGAGAGGAATATATAATACTGACAATATCTCAAAAACAGAGGTGTAGAATGGGATTTAGTTGATGGCCTGTGTCTCCCTCTGCGAGCTCGCAGCCGAGCCTGCCTTCAGTGCGTGGCCAAACCCTACTTGCAACTTGGTAGTACCCCTGCATCTGACCTTTCGCAATGTGACAGCTAGCCTGCCCAGCTAAAGCATCGTGCTTGCGAAAGTTCCCAGAAATACAGCCAGCAAATTTATCGGCATACAACCACCAAGAAATACAATGAACAAAAGCTGTGTGTCGACCTCTTGCCAGTGTCCGCACCCCTTCCACGGCAGCGTCCTCAAATAGCAACACAGGAATCGAACAAGACTTGGAGCTGGTACACGTTAGTTTTGTCCAAATAGCAGCATGTGGCATTAATCCGACGAGGGCTCCCAAGCCGATAAGCCCTTGGGCACCCCTTGCGCGAAGGGACCACTTAGCTGACGTGCACATGATCCCTAAATATCGTCATCGGGTAGAGACAACCCAAGTGTTTCTGCAAAACATCATCTCTGCATGCACGACCTACACTTGGAACGCATATTTAGGCACAACCACGCAACCATGGAAGACAGACGCAAATGTCCAGTTTGCCGGGAAAGTGGCACACCAAAGTGATATTTGGGTGAGCGTTTGATGAGAATCGTCTACGTTGCGCACATGTGATTAGGGGTGTGTCACTTTGTGGCTTATTATGTTTGCTGTTGCTGCATGTTATATGGCGGCTCTGGATCGTATCTATGCATGCAACGTAGTACATTGCACGGTTAGAGTGTACTGCGTAAATACAACTGCTGTGGCTTAAAAGGGATTGAGGCCAATAATATTTGCACAAGCAAACAAATGCCAGTACCGGTGCGTCGCCGATCCCGTTGAACTGCACCACAAGGGTTCACTAAATCTGATGAGCGCATTGCGTGCCAAATCCGGTGACAGAGTACACTGAGTAGCCAGGAAACAGCATCGAAGGGCTGAGTTGCTCCCGGTCGTATCCACGAGCTGTGGCTCTCCTGGGACTCCCGTTCAGTGAATCGTACTTGAGCAGCAGTCGAGGACGCTCGGCTGAGCGGTGGCTTGGGCTGTCAGCCTTTGAAACGGCTGCTAGTAAACCTTCCACTGTCATGAACGGTGTGTTGTAGTAGCTACTGGTCGTTGGTTGGTCATGAGCAGCCGTTAATGATCTATTTACGACTTACAAGTAAATATCCTAACAGTGACCGGCGGAGCATGGGTGGCGGAATTGTCAGGATAGCATCCAGTAAGTTTTGAATGGTCGGTGACAGTGACTAGTGATGAAATAGCTGTATGTGAGAGAAACTTAAAAGGCAGAACCTGTCCAATAGTGGAAAAGGTTTACAGAACATCCTACAATATGCAGCGCCTTGGTGGAAACCCCTTTGATAGTACTTTGTTCCGATGAGGAATGCAAGGACACTGATAATGAAAACAATGCTGAGAACTCAACCTCGAACTCAACTCGTCAACCTCGCGCGGTGAAGACGAGAGATGTTCGCATGCAACTGCCCGCGAAGCCCTGTAAGATAACGATTCGGTGTCGCAGCTGATCTGCCGTGCTCGACATGCAGAAGCCACTCATTGCTATGTCATGCTCGGAAAAGGTCTCATTTTTCTTCCATCTTCTATGGCAAGTGCTTCTCACACTACTTTACTTCCTCGATTGGTTGTTTGAAGCCCGAAAAAAATTGACACATGCATCAGACGGTCTTGCCTCTCTCGCTAGCCCATGCCGTGCCATCTATGGATCTTGAATTTAACTATAGCTTTGATATTTCGAACAGTGTTCAATTGGCCAATGCCCGGATATAGCAATGCTTTCACACATTTTTTCGGTTCATTTCAGGAGCATCCTTCACCGCTGAACCAGCGATGGGCACCTAAACCACCACTCCCCCGCCCCGAAACGCAAAATCAAACTCTGTGCCAGACGCGCGAAGCTGTGATGCGATGGATCGCCCGGTGATGTCGCCCCTGTCGCCTGGAGCTCGCGCCAGCTCCACGGAGAACCTGATCCCGCCGGAGGAGTCGCCGCAGACGCGGCCGCGACCCGTCATCACCACCGAGTCACCGGTGCCAGACGACGCGCGCGCCGTGCCGCTGCTGACGTTGCCGCCACTGTCCGCCGAGCCGGCCGCCGGACCCGAGGGAGGCGCGCGCAGCTTCCCGGACATCGAGCTGCACTGCCGGCGCACCTACCTGTGTCCGCAGGCGCTGGCGCGCCGCCGCTGCTCCTGCATCAACATCCACCGCATGGGCTCACGGGACTCGGTGTGCTCGGTGGTGGGGGCGCGCGGCGGCGCGCTGCCGGCTTCGCTGGGCGCCACGGGCGGCGGCAGTCGCGACAAGATCGTGCGCCAGCATTCCCAGCCGGAGACGTGCACCTCGTGCCACCAGCCACGCTCGGCGGCCAGCCTGCGCCAGCTGCACTGCCACGAGCCGGGCCGCAGCAGCGAGTTCGCCGAGATCGCCGCCGACTCGCTGCGCATTAACGGCGCCATCCGACAGTTTCGTCACGTGAGTAGCGAGTGTCGGGCCAGTCCGACACCTCGGCACTGATGGTCCGACACCTCGGCGCTGCTGGTTTTCAGCACATACGACGCGTGCTGCGAGTCCTCCCTCTGAGCAATACTAGGGTAGGACTGACGCGCGGGGAGCGTGGACGTGAGACACATGAGCAGTGGTAGGGTGGGACTGACGCGCGAGGAGCGTGGACGTGAGACACCTGAACAGTGGTAGGGTGGGACTGACGCGCGAGGAGCGTGGACGTGAGACACCTGAGCAGTGCCAGGGTAGGACTGGCGCGCGAGGAGCGTGGACGTGAGGCACCTATGCCGTGTGGACCGCAATGGACAACAATAGGCTTTTTTGGCTTTGCTTGGATTAAAACCTTTCTGGCCAGCAAATACTACTTGAGGGCTATGAGATGGAGGAGAGTGGACGGTGACAGGGCAAACCTACATGCATCTGAGGATTCTCCGCCGACTCTTGACGACTCCGCATGTAGCTTGCCCTCTTGCCCGATATAGACAAATTTGTGTGGGGATGCAGGATGCAGCGAGAACGAGGAAGTAAGGGTGGATGACCCGACGGGCTCGACAGATGAGTCATGGCGATTTCCGCCGGTTTTGATACTAAAAAGAGTAAATAACCCACAACTCTGGTATAGCACTGGTCTCACAATTTCCGCCAGGATCGTGTACCACCTGGTGGTAGTCGGCAGAACCAATGGTATGGCCCCAGATGGCAGTACTGACGTCATATTTCTCAGCATGCGTCTTTGGTCAAGTAAAATAACGTTGGTGACATCTCTATGGGCTTATATAGATAACCAGACGGTGACATTGTATGTAATGGAAATATGTATTCAGTTCCATGGATCATCTTATAATATCTCCTGAGATTCAAGTAATCCTTTAGATTTATTACTAATCGATCCTCCGTTGATGGCGTCATGGAAGATGGCCAGAAAACAAAACCCAGTTGAATTTGATGTCATTTATTTATGTTGATAATCTCAATCCCAGATTGATACCACAGTTTAGGTACGCATTGATGACAATGAGGCCACAGATGGTCTGGGGCGCAACCTTGCCCACTGTTTTTTTCGACCAGGTGCTTCCATAATACTTCTATTTGAAGTACCCAGGCACCAGTCAGGTGCTAGTTTTGAACTACCACAGTCTAAAGCCCGATCAAGCGATAGAAATGACAGGCAAGTTAGTCACTTAGACAATTAGACGATACAAAAGGTTGCGCGGCAATGCCTGTATTTTTGGAAAAGTGGAAATGAGGCTTGTAATCATCCATAAGGTTCATTTCATTCATAGGGTATGAAATCACGATCTAATCAAAAAACAATATCTTGGTAGCTGCCCCCTTTCTCGCATCCCCGGGTTCGTCTCCGTCTTTCCTGCATCCGCCCCCAGCACCTCCCAAAGAGATGTCCAGCACGAAGTCCTTCGTTTTTCACAATTACTTCCATGCGGTCAGCCACGACAGTACTACATCAGTCACTCCTACAGTTGTTTCGATACCAGGCGCGCTCCATGCCGCCAGTTTGACCTGCCCTCGAGTCAGCTTACGGTCCGAACTAACTGCTGGCGTGTGATTGGTTACAGAGAAGGCACTGGCAATATTGCGTCACTGATGCACGGATAAAGTGCGATTGAACGTCGCTCATGCCGGGGTGCTATCAGTGCTAGCTGACCAACAGCCGACAGCAGAGGCAGAATCAGTCCTTCCGCTCGCGTGCCGCGTTAGTGAAAGGCCACCGTGGACTGCTGGATCGTGGCCGCACAGTTAAAATACCCGCCTTCATCAAAAGGTTTGAACGTGTGTTTGCTGTCATTCCCGGCAAATATCATAGTCATTGAAGAGCCTGCCGATTGCCAGTTGCAACCTCTTTTTTACCAAGAACTTACCACACTGCCACGTGTAAGTTGCACCTGACTAACATGCATAGGTGACAGCTATGTAAAAAAAGACTCGGTCTGTACTGTATTTGCTGATTTATCGATAATGCACTTCACTTTAAAAGGCAAGGGTCATGGACTGCAAAACGGTTCTGCGAAGAAGAGTGGTTACAGCCCGGGCGAGATAATGTCATTTCTGAGACTGGGGCCTTACATAACTGCGGTCTAAATTGTTGGACAGCTGATAGCGCCGTACTCTGAGTTCGAGCGAATAACGAGTTTTGATATCGCTCGCTATCCATTATGTTTAAAATTTACTCACGATGGCTGGTCTATAAACTAGCAAGCCTTTGAAATTCTACATGTTGGCTCAAAATTTATGACATAAATATGCTCTAACCCTTTATACGTTCATGATGCTGCTGAGTAAGACAGTTATGAATGTTTGCTAAACATGGGCTTGAACGTAACTGAATTCCCGAAGGTGGTTATTTGTCTGGTTTCGTTTTTTCACCAGTCTGTTTGCACGAGTGGGCATCTTACACCTGACGGAGGCTGACCCGGGGCTGCGAGAAAGGGAAGCAAAGAAGCAACTAGTTAAATTTTTTACTCTGCGAAGTTTATTGCGTCCAACATAAACATTGTGAGGAGTTTTGCCGAGTGGTAGAACAAGCACGATATGACCATTTGAGCCTGGCAATGAGAAACTTAGATGGCATTTACACTTTGCTGGTCTCTGGCTGTTTTTTGGGTCTTGAACGATCAATTTCTTGAAATCTTTGTATTTTTAAGGCTTCGCAGTACACCAGTAAAGCACAAACACACGGCAATTCCATTAATTTCGAGGAAGGTTTTCGCGTTTAAGCCAGGAATACAAATGTATGTAGGTTTCTGCCAAAATTAATGACACTGCAAGTGAAAAACTACTCGCAAAACAGGACATAGGCAGCAATATGAATTCCCTGTCAGATACAGACCAGTGTTTTAGAGTACAGATTATTTGCTATGGTTAATATGTGCTTAACGCTCGCACTGACAGGGCTCATTAGACACAGTGCCAACCCATCTATTATCATCTATTGCTTGTGTTTGACTTAGGTCAACCAGCCATAGAGTTGGTTTCATTTCAGGGTCAGCCCATGTCAGTGACTCATGGTGACCTGTCACGTCAAACTACTACATGCAAATGAGGGAGCGCCACTAGGGTGTCTGAGAACAAATGAGAACTGACAAGTTGTGGTGTGATAGTTCATATGACAAAAGTTCTTAGATATCGACCAACTCGGAACGGTGACCTATAACGACCTTTTGGGCAAATAGACGATTAAAATGCGTCACGGGCCAGGTATTAGAGCGACTAAAATCCATACCTGGCAAAATATTGGACATTTTCCAAAAGGTTGGAAGAAAATGTCGATGTATATCAGTAATGTACTATGGCATCCAGCCGTACATTTAAAATCAAGTGATAGAAACGTTATGTTGAAAACCTAAGCAGTCAAAAGCTCAGCCCTATCAGAAAGCGTTATCAGTGAACGCCATATTGATCCATGATTTAATCTGCCTTGGCGTAGCAAAACCCTATTTCAGCCATTGATAATGCATGACCCGGTGCCCTAAATTTCGGAGCGCTTCGGAGCGCTTCGGAGCTCACCAGTGATGTGGAATAAGGCGTTCAAAGTATAAGGGGATAAGCAGGATGCGTTTTGCAGCTTGCAGATGTTCCCAAAAATTTCGTTGGGAGAGGGTGGTTATCTGCTGTCTTTCCTTCCCCCGGTCAGTGCGAGGGCTAAACATCAAACTTTAACGTAGCCGGAAGGCATCGCAGTTGACAGGAGGGACTAAGGGTGCTTTGATTAGTTCTTTCGGTGCAACACTATAGACCTTGTTCTAAATGTTCGATATGTCGCTCTATTGTCCACCGAGACTAGCGGCTGCCGCACTCATCATGCATTCCGTAAAAACGGCCCAACTTAACGTGCGCCCTGCGAGCCGCTTTCGTCGCTGGATTGTGCCGCGTTATTGAAGTGAATTGCGGAAGAGCATGGTCGATGATATCGGGCGGAGCATTAACCGTTGTGCCTATAACATTTTACAGGTGAAAAACAGGCTTCGTGAGGCCACTATGTTGTTCAGAACATTTTAGCCACTTTGAGACGCTTCTACTTCGCTGTGCGATGTAAATCACTTATGGGAACTGATTAAACTTCACAAATCCAGCCAAAACTCAACAACGAAGCTGCTTTTTACATTTAAATCGGAGGGCAGGAAAATCGGACTTTTTCTGAATCTGCCCATGGTCCTGAAACCACGCACAAGTCCCAACCCCTCCTGGGAACCGTTACCAGCAGCCGCGATTGGTCGCGTGGGCCACCATACTCTTTAGACTGTCCCGCATTACTGACGAGCGTAGCGGAACAGCATAACTGCTCCAGAGGGCGAGATGTGTCGCCTTTCGCCCGAGAGCCCAGACCTCGTGGATGACCTGGCAACACTGGGATCGCCATGGTCGCTCAGACTGACGCTCTGACTCATGAACAGGCCTTAAAAAGTCGTGGATAATGACTGTTTTCTTTGAAAGCGAAGAAACTAGCAGAGAATGCCGAAGACCACCTTGATGTTTTTGTTTACATTTTACACAGCAGTAAACGTGACATCGTAGGCATTAACTGCGGCATAAGGCAGTGCAGCCGTGCGCTGTCACGTGTGAGCCGTTGCTATCTTATGGTGTTACTGATGCGCATAAGGACTGTGTCTTTTATTAGAAACTTGTGATGCCTATCGCTATGGACGTTAAATGTGAATTGTGCGCGATCTCAATTGTTTTATGTGAATTGTGTACAATGCACTGAGTCTGCATTCACTAAGCTGTTATGCCTCCTTTACTGGTCTATAGTCGGAGACTACATTTGTTACACGGGTGAATGTCTAACTGTTGTAGTTGTGTGGTTCCTCTTTGCTGAGCGCTGCATATGTCCAGTGTACTCACTAACCGTCAACTTTTCTCCGGCAGCCGACCATGGTGAGTAAGACGTTCAGCTACACGCTGAGTCTGCTGTACAGCTACGCTATCCCCAAGCCTTGCCCATCTCGCAGATAAGGTACCGATGCGCATACATGATACCGGATAGTGATTTTATTTTG